CCAGCCCTGGTTCTGGAGGGTTGTGAAGTTGCTACCACTTTGTCGTTTGAGGGGAGCAGGAGCAAGTCGGCCACTATTGCCTGGCAGGTGGTCTGTCCTGAGGAAGCACTGTAGTTCCTCCAGGTAGTTTTGGTCTCCATAAAGACATCATTGATCAGTGGTAAGTCCTGCCCTTCCTGGGTTCTAAGGTGACTGCACAGTGACTGCAGGGAGACTGGCTTAGAGCAGACACATATACAAAATAGAGGCAGAGCTGCAAAGCTTTGCTCTCTTAGTTTGTTCACAGGCCCAACAAACCGGCTCTGTGTGTGTGTGTGTGTGTGTGCGTGTGTGTAAAATATGTATGTATAGACTCATTATATAGCATCATTCTTGTTCCTGTGGCTTCTGATGAGCCAACCCATAGAAGTTTCACTGTTGTGCACATCCATGAGCACTGGATCCTGAAGTGATTCCCACATTATTAGTTTCATGCAGCAATACCAAATTATTTGCTAACTGGGTTCCTATAACATGGCACTGGTGGCTCACTCCTGTAATCCTAACTACTCAGGAAGCTGAGATCTGAAGATCATGGTTCAAAACCAGCGCAGGTAGGAAAGTCGGAGTCTCTTATTGCCAATTAACCACCAAAAAGCTGAAAGTGGAGCTGTGACTCAAGTGGTAGAATGCTAACTTGGGGTGGGACAGGGGATGGGGGGAGACAACACTCAGGCCTAATTCAAGCTCCAATAGTGGCACACATATGTGCACACATGAATCCCACAAAATGTATCTACCTGCTGGGGGAAATGGCATGTCCAGAGGCCGGAGGATGATGGGCATTTCTCCCAACCTTGCGCAGCCAGCAGCAGGAAAGGAGAGAGACAACCCTGAAGCCTGCCGGGCTTTCTGGTCAAGGTCATCACTCTGTCCTTTTTCCTGAGACATTACCCAGGGCTAAGTCACCCACCAGGCTCCCAGCCATGCGTCACCCACACCTCGGCCTGCTGTGAGGTCACTGGAACACCTCCAAGCTCAGGAGACAGTCTCTGGGGAGACTGGGCTTGACGGCTCCTCACTTTGCTCACCCAGGATGTCTGCAGGGAAGAAAAACTCCAAACAGTCCAGCCATTTTCCTTGGGAACCAGAGTGGGAGGAAAAGCAATGGGAGGCTTGGTAGAAGGGAGCCTGGAGCAGGAGGAGGTGTGGGGGGAGATGGAAACATAAGTCACCAGTCACCTTGGGGTTCAGACTTGTGCCCGAGGCTTTTCTTGCTGAATTGTAGCAATGTGGAGAAAGGTAGAAATTTCCAGCACTGTGGACCCGGTTCTTCCACTTCCAGCTGGGTGGCTTTGGGCGGGTGACATCACCTCTCTGAGCGTCTACTGGCCCATTTGTAAGTGGAGGGCCATACTGCCCCCTGAACGGCTTGGGTGCTTTAGCCCTGGCTAAAGCATAGAGAGAGTGCCACAAACAAGTCAATAATCCTTTTAAACTTGGGGATACATTTCCGGATTGGTAGATTAGGCTTTGCTTTCTCAATTAAAGCTCTTTTCTTCTGGGCAGATATGTTTTGTTTCCTTTTATTTTTTTGGGGTCCGGTCGTGGGGCCTGAACTCTGGGCCTGGGCGCTGTCCCTCAGCTCTTCAGCTCAAGGCTAGCGCTCTACCACTTGAGCCACAGTGCCACTTCCGACTTTTTTCTTTTTGCTTATGTGGTGCTGAGGAATCGAACCCAGGGCCTCATGCATGCAAGGCAAGCGCTCTACCACTGAGCCACCTTCCCAGCCTGGGCAGATATGTTTTTAAACGAAGCAGCCATGGCTTGGAGTGGGAGGGAAACACGGCAAGCTTAGCTTCCTTTGTTTTTTGTTTTACTCTGCTTTGAGATGGGGTCTTCTTGTGTGTTCCAGGCTATCCTCCAGCTCAGGCCTCCTGTCTCAGCCGCCTCTATGTTCGGAGTACAGGTGGGCCCCACTACACCTGACTCAAATTTAGCTTTTTAATGTTTGAAAAATCTAATCAAAAGATACAGACTGAACTTCCCTGGCAAGGCCCTGAGCCCAGCTGAAGAAGGGAATCATGACACTGATGCTTGATGCCTTTCAGCTTTTTCCTAGGCACCCAGGGCTGGTCACTGTATGGGGAAAGAAGTCTGAGACTCAGGGAAGGAAGGGGTTCACTCCAGGCTGCACAGCAAATCTTGAGTAGAACAGACATTAAAGCTCAGGTTGCGCTGGGTGCTGGTGGCTCACGCCTGTAATCCTAGCTACTCAGGGGGCTGAGATGTGAAGGTGGCAGTTCAAAGCCAGCCTGAGCAGGGAAGTCTGTAAGACTCTTATCTCCAACTAACTGCCAAAAAGTGTCACTGGGGCTCAAAGTGGCTGAGCACTAGCCTTGAGCAAAAAGAGTGAGTTCAGGGACAGTGCCAGGCTCTGAGTTCAAGCCCCATGACTGACAAAAAACAAACAAAAACAGGTTGCTTTGTCAGACTCCATCTCAACTAATGACTGGGTGTGGTAACACACATCTGACATCTCCAGTGACACAGGGAAGCACAAATAGGAGGATCACAGCCCAAGAAATAAAAGGAGATCCTACTTTGGGAATAACTACTGCAAAAATAACTATTGCACTATGGTCCTTGTGGTAGAGTACCTGTCTAGCAAGAGCAAGGTCCTAAATTCAATCTCCAGTCCTGCCAAAAAGAAAAAGAAAGATAGCCAGGCGCCGGTAGCTCATGCCTGTAACCCTAGCTACTCAGGAGGCTGAGATCTGAGGATTGCGGTTTAAAGCCAGCCTGGGCAGGAAAGTCCATGAGACTCATCTCCAATAAACCACTAGAAAACCAGAAGTGGTGCTGTGGCTCAAGCGGTAGAGCGCTCGCCTTGAGCTGAAGAGCACAGGGACAGTGTCCAAGCCCAGAGTTGAAGCCCCACAACCAACCAAAAAAGAAAAAGAAAGATGTTTTGGGAGTGGAACCTCGATGGAACATTGTTGAACGTATATTAAATTGAGAACCATGAAAACTCATAGGCAAGCATGATTGAAACTTTTTTTTGTTGTTGTTGTTGTTCATGGGGCTTGAACTCTGGGCCTGGGTGCTGTCCCTGAGGTCTTTAGCTCAAGGCAAGTGCTCGACCACTTGAGTCACAGCATCACTTCCAGCTTTCAGATGGTTAATTAGAGATAAGAGTGTCATGGAGGGCTGGGAAGGTGGCTCAGTAGTAGAGTGCTTGCCTTGCATGCATGAGATTTTGGGTTCGATTCCTCAGCACCATGTAAGCAAAAAAGAAAAAAGCTGGAAGTGGCGCTGTGGCTCCAGTGGTAGAGCGCTAGCCTTGAGCTGAAGAGCTGAGGAACAGCACCCAGGCCCAGAGCTCAGGCCCCATGACCGGGCCCCCCCCCCCAAAAAAAAAAGAGTGTCATGGATTTTCCTGCCTGGGCTGGACCCTCAGATCTCAGCCTCCTGAGTAGCTAGGATTACAGATGTGAGCCACTGGCACCCAGTCATCGCTTTTTCTTTTTGGCCATGGGACTTGAATTCAGGGCATGATGGTTAATTGGAGATAAGAGTCTTACAGATTTTTCTGCCCAGGCTGGCTTTGAACCATGATTTGCAGATCTTAGCCTCCCGGGTTGTTAGGATTACATGCATGAGCCGTAGGACCTGGCTACATTTCTTATTATTTATTTGAATTTTCCATATTTCCTAGTGTGAGCATGAGGGACCAAAAAACCCCTACCCTCTTTGAGCTGGACACCAGTTGCTACTCCTAGATACTCCGGGGGGCGGGGAGGGCGAGATCTGAGGATGGAGGTTTGAAGCCAGCCTGGGCAAGAAAGTCTGTGAAACTTAATCTCCAATTAACCACCAGAAAACCAGAAGTGGAGCTGTGGCTCAAGTGATAGAGCACTAGCCTTAGGCAAAAAAGCTCAAGGACAGTGCCCAGGCCCTGAGTTCAAGCCCCACAACTGACCAAAAATAAAATATAAAGCATGAACTAGAAAAAAAGAGAAGGAATGAGAAGTTGACCTGATACTCCGTAGAGAAATGCATGGAGTCATGATCTGATGCTTTTTCCTGTGTCTCCCCCCACACCCTGTGCCCAGCTGGGCTTGGTTGAGCTTCCCTGCCTGAGTAAATAGAAGGAAGCTTTCTGGTGCACAGCTTACAGCGCTGATTTCATGTCGTTGTCTCAAATCCGTGGTAGTTCCCAACAGCTATGACTCTGTCCTCTGGGAATTGTGGGGGTGGGGATGTGCCTCTCTCCCCCATCTCCTCCCATTTGAGAAGGGCAGGTTTACAATATCACAGTCAGCATTAAGCAGCAGCAGCCTTTTTATTCTTATAATTCCAACCTTCAGATTCATCTTGCTAAAACCTAACTTTATCTTTTTTCTTCTTCTTCTTCTTTTTGAAGTCCCAGAAGCATCCATGTCAGTGAGCGGATAGCGATCTCGTTTGTTTGGCCTTCTCTCCAGTCATGCATTCTTCCAGTCTTGGTAACCAGAATGTTTTGTCTGTTCAGCCTCAAAAACGATCAGTGGGACGGGAACCAGAGTTCAGTATTTCATGATGCGTCAAAATGAGCCTGGGAAAGCTGAGCTGCGGCCTGTATGGCTTCTCTGAATCTGCTGGTACTTCTTTTCATCTCTAGTTTTCAAAGTTCCCTGGAAGCAACCTGATAGTCCACAATCTGCTCTGATCAGAGTTTTGGGGGAGGGATTTTGAAGTGTTCATTCAATCGGGAGCCCAAAATGCCAAAAACATGAACCCCAGGTTATCTCCCTTTGTGATATCCTGACGATTATCTAACAAACTTCAGCTTGTGTTCCTGGGGCCTGGGCTCTCTGCTGGGTGGGCAAAGGTTCCAGAGCAGTGAGCCTAGTGGCGCTCACTGCCGCCATATTCTTCAGCCTCATCCTGAAGTCTGTCCTCTGCTGCTTGGCTCTCACCCTCGAGAAGCTGAAGTGATGACTTTGCTCTGGGGACCAAGCAAGCAGAAACCCTGAGTGCAGCTGTCTGTAGGGAGAGAGAGCGAGCCTCCTAGCATGTCTCCACCCAACCAGTCAGTAGAAGGCCTTCTGCAGGAGGTCTCCAACAGATCCCTGAACACGACGGGAACCCCAGAGGCTTGGGATCCAGGGACCCTCCAGGCACTGAAGATCTCCCTGGCCGTGGTCCTGTCCATCATCACCCTGGCCACTGTCCTCTCCAACGCCTTTGTTCTGACCACCATCTTGCTCACCAGGAAGCTCCACACTCCAGCCAATTATCTCATTGGCTCCTTGGCCACCACCGACCTCCTGGTTTCCATCTTGGTCATGCCCATCAGTATTGCCTACACTACCACTCACACTTGGAACTTCGGCCAAGTCCTCTGTGACATCTGGGTGTCTTCTGACATGACGTGCTGCACAGCCTCCATCCTGCATCTCTGTGTCATCGCTCTGGATAGATACTGGGCCATCACAGACGCCCTGGAGTACAGCAAGCGCAGGACGGCAGGCCACGCAGCCTTGATGATCGCCGTGGTCTGGGTCATCTCCATCTGTATCTCCATCCCACCGCTCTTCTGGAGGCAGGCTAAGGCTCAGGAGGAGATCTCAGACTGCCTGGTGAATACCTCCCAGATCTCCTACACCATCTACTCCACCTGTGGGGCCTTCTACATCCCATCCCTCTTGCTCATCATCCTCTATGGCCGAATCTACGTGGTGGCCCGGAGCCGAATCCTGAATCCGCCCTCTCTCTATGGGAAGCGCTTCACCACGGCCCATCTCATCACAGGCTCTGCGGGGTCTTCCCTCTGCTCACTCAATCCCAGTCTCCACGAAGGCCACTCACACACAGCTGGCTCTCCTCTCTTTTTCAACCACGTGAAAATCAAGCTGGCTGATAGCATCCTGGAACGCAAGAGGATCTCTGCTGCTCGGGAACGGAAAGCCACGAAGACCCTGGGGATCATTCTGGGAGCTTTTATCTTCTGCTGGCTGCCCTTCTTTGTGGCATCCTTGGTCCTACCCATCTGCAGGGACTCCTGCTGGATCCACCCGGTTCTCTTTGACTTCTTTACTTGGCTAGGCTATTTAAACTCCCTCATCAATCCTATAATCTATACTGTGTTCAATGAAGACTTCCGGCAAGCATTTCAGAAGGTTGTTCATTTCCGGAAAGCCTCTTAGTCTTATTTTGTGGTGAATCAGTTTATCTCTTGGGTCCTATAACCCCAACTTGGATTCTCTCTCTCTCTCTCCCTCTCCCTCCTTCCCTCCCTCTCCCTTTCTTTCTCCCCCTCCCTCTCTCTTTCCCCCTTCCTCTCTCTGTCTCTCTCTCTCTTTCCTGAGACCTGGGTGAATTTATGGTATCTTGAGTCTTGGGCCAATCAACAGAATTATGTGTTTGGTGGCCCTGATCCTCTTGCTGACTGAGCCACTCAAAGCTGGGCCACTTGCTGTGTGGAAGAGGACAGGCCTGCTGACTGCCATTAACATAACATTTTCCTGGTTCCTCTCCGTGAAAGAAGCATGACTGACCGGATTCAGGTGAGGAAAAAGTTCCACCCTGTATAAAAGATTCTGACTCAGAAGGAAGGCCTTCTGGGTTTACTTGAGATTTATACATAAATTGTTGAGGATGGATACAACTCATGACCTGAATTGAAAGAGAATTTAATTTTGATTCGAAAATAACACCAGCCAGGTGCAGGGTATCAGGCCTATATTCCTAACTACTCAGGAGGCTGAGATCTGAGGATCGCTGTTCAAAGCCAGCCTGGGCAGGAAAGTCCATGAGACTCTTATCTCCAATGAACCACCAGAAAATCAGAAGTGGTGCTGTGGCTCAGGTGCTAGAGCGCTTGCCTTGAGCTGTAGAGCTCAGGGACAGTGTCCAGGCCTAGAGTTCAAGCCCCACAACCGACCAAAAGAAGAAAGAAAAAAAAATAACAGAAGATTTCTCTCACTGGGTCCTCCTTGCCTAGAATAGTGACTTAGGGAGAAATACCGAAGGTGGGAAAAATGAGATGATTAGAACCAGACCAGTCACCATCTACCCTTCCTTCCCAACATCCCTACACCATCTTTATAAGGTTAAAACCATGATCCCTGACTCTAATAGATTAACAGGTATTGAACTCACCAAACTTTGAGTGGGCCACCATGGGAAATTTTTTTTCTGAACTATTTTTTTATATCCCATTCTCTAATTAGAGTTCTTAAAATGCTGAGTCTTATCAAATAAAATGCATGAGACGTCACAATCAGCATAAGTGTTTGGGTGAACTTTTTTTCCTTCTCTCTACCTAAGTGTAGTGACTTGCAGCTCAACTTGGTCTCCAGTATTTTCTCAGCATGTACCAGACCTTGTACCTGAGACTTGCAACTATTACAGTGAGCCTCAAACAAGGCTGTCAGTGTAGCATGACAATTAAGAACTCAAGCTGACTAGGTGCCGTGGCTCACCCTTGTAATCCTAGCTACTCAAGAGGATGAGATCTGAGGACTGCAGTTCAAAGCCAGCCTGGGCAGGGTGCCACTGGCTAACACCTGTAGTCCTAGCTACTCAGGAGGCTGAGATCTGAGGATCATGGTTCAAAGCCAGCCTGGGCAGAGAAGTCATGAGACCCTTATCTCCAATTAACCACCAGAAAACCGTAAGTAGAGCTGTGGTTCAAGTGATAGAGTGCTCGCCTTGAGTTCAAGAGCCCAGGGATAGAACCTAGGCCCAGAGTTCAAGCCCCACGACCAAAAAAAAAAAAAAAAAAAGCCAGCCTGGGCAAAATGTCTATGAGCATCTTATCACCAATACCCAGAAAAGGCTGGAAGTGGCTTAAGTGGTAGAACACTAATCTTGAGGAAAAGAAGTTCAAGGATGGAGCCCAGGCTAGTTCAAGCCCAGGATGTGGGCAAACAAACAACAACAACAACAAAAAAAAACTCAAGCCAGCCAGATGTTGGTGGCTCACGCTTGTAATCCTAGCTACTTAGGAGGCTGAGATCTGAGGATCACAGTTTGAAACCAGCCTTGGCAGAAGTCTAGGAGACTCAAGCAGCAAAAAAAAAGCCAGAAATGAGGTCTAGCTCAAGTGGTTAAACTTGAGTGAAAAAGCCAAATGAGAGTGTGAGGCCCTGAAATCAAGCCCCGGTACCAGCCCAAACAAACAAACACTCAGGACCTGGGGCTGGCGATGTAGTTCTTGGCAGAGGGCTTGCCTGGCATGAACTCAGCCCTGGGTTTTTCATCTCTAGCTTTAGGGGAGGGAGGAGGAGGAGTGGGAACTCCCAGAGACCAGTGTTTCAGTTCAAATCCAAATGCCGCCAGTTTGTAGCTAGGTGATCTAGGGCTTCTTTCTTCTTTCCTTCCTTCCCGCCCCCTCTCTCTCTATCAGTCATAGGGCTTGAACTCAAGGCCTGGGCACTGTCCTTGAGCTTCTTTTTACTCAAGGCTGATACTCTACCACTTGAGCCACAGCACCACTTCTGGCTTTTTCTAAGTAGTTATTGGAGATAAGAGTCTCATGGACTTTCCTGCCTGGGTTGGGTTTGAACTGTGAGCCTCAGATCTCAGCCTCCTGAGTAGCTAGGATTACAGGCGTGAGCCACCGGTGCCCGGCTGATTTCTACATATCTAATTTGAGACCTACTGAGTTAGCTCTTGCTGTGAGGCCTCTCCCTGAGCCCAGTATGTGCCCAACTCCCAGCACCCTCCTATGATCCCTGTCCAGCGTCTAGCTACAGCACATTGTATGTATACATTCATCAACTGACAGATGGAATTATTTCCATTTTTTTGCTATTATAAATAATTCTGTGAGTCAAACACTGGTGGCTCAGACCTGTAATCCTAGTTGCTCAGGAGGCTGAGATCCAGAAGATTGTGATTCAAAGATAACTCCAGCCAGGCACTGGTGGCTCACGCCTGTAGTCCTAACTACTAAAGAGGCTGAGATCTGAGGATCATGGTTCAAAGCCAGCCCCGGCAGGAAAGTCCATGAGACTCTTATCTCCAATAAACCACCTGAAAACCAAAAGTGGTGCTGTGGCTCAAGAGGTAGAGCTCAGGCCCAGAGTTCAAGGCCCACAATTGACCAAAACAAACAACAACAACAAACTCCAACAGAAAAGTCTGTGAGACTCCATCTCCAATTAAACCAGAAAGAAAACCTGAGCTTGAGGCATGGCTCAAATGGTAGAGTGCCATCCATGAGCAAGAAAGCCAAGTGAGAGCATGAGGCTCTGAATTCAAACTCCACTATTGGCAGAAACTAACACTACAATGAACATTCTGGTTTGTGTTTGCATGGAAGAGACATTTTCATTTAGCTCAGGAAATGTATCCATGGAATGGACTCACTGGATGATTTTCTTTCTCTATTTAGCCTGAAGAAATGCTGTTTTTCAAAGTGGCCACATTAGCTTCCCTTCCCATTAGCAGTATGTAACAGTCCCAATTTGTTTGTGTCCTTCTTGTTGTCTTTTTTTAAATTATTGTTATTATTATAGTCATTCTAGTGGGTGGAATGTGGTATTTCCTTGAATGGCCAACTTTTTTAAAAGGGCCAGACGGTAAATATTCTCAGCTTTACGAGTCATACCATCTCTGCAATTGCTCAACTCTGCCAAGAAACATGAAAGCAAGCCCCAGACAGCATGTAAATACATGAGGCATGGCTGGGTTCTGAGGAAGTTTTACTTAATGAAAAGTAGCTGCTGGAGGGGTCACAGTGTGTAAAAGCTGATCTGGATGAGCGGCCACTGCCCACTCCGTCCACTCCTTCTGCATTCCTTTTCCACCTTTATTTTTAGGTTTTTTGTTGGTGGTGGTGGTGGGTTTTTTTTGTTGTTGTTGTTGTTTTTGGCTGTTGTTGTTCAAGATCAGAACTTAAACTTAGTATCTGATGCTTTCACTCATTGGCTGGCACTCTACTACCTGAGCCATGCCTCTAACCCCTAGTTTTAATTTTTGGAGATTAAGTCTCCCTGTGTAGCCGAAGCTGGCTTTGATTTTGCAATCTTCTGCTTCTAAGTCCTGAATGCCGAGAAATGAGTCAAGCTTAATCTGTGTGTGTGTGTGTGTGTGTGTGTGTGTGTGTACACACGTGCGCATGCACTTAGATTCAGGGCTTAGGTGCTGTCCTTGAGCCTTTTGGTTCAACTGTCCTATTGCTACTTGAGCCACAGCTCCATTTCTAGATTTTTGGTAGTTAATTGAAGATAAGCATTTCATAAATAGGTTGGGAAGGTGGCTCAGTGGTAGAGTGCTTGCCTTGCATGCATGAGAACCTTGGTTCGATTAGCACCACATAAGCAGAAAAAGCTGGAAGTGGCGCTGTGGCTCAAGTGGTAGAGCGCTAGCCTTGAACTGAAGAGCTGAGGGACAGCGCCCAGGCCCAGAGTTCAAGCCCCACGACCGACAAAAAAAAAATTCATGAAGCCGAAGCCCTGGGTTCGATTCCTCGGTACCACATATACAGAAAAAGCCAGAAGTGGTGCTGTGGCTTAAGTGGAAGAGTGCTAGCCTTGAGCAAATGGAGCTCAGGGACAGTGCTCAGGCCCTGAGTTCAAGCCCCAAGACTGTCAGAAAAAAAAAAAAAGACCAAGTCTTGTGATGTGGCCTCAAATTCCTGGTGTTAAGCAATCCTCCTACCTCAACCTCCAAAGCAGCTGGAATGACAGGCATGCACAGCTCTGCTTGGCTTCCCTTGTACATGCAAGGCAAGCACTGCTAAACTACACCAAAGCCCAGCAGGGCAGTTTAAAAGCAGCAGCTCCGGGCCCTCAGGCCATGAATCCTGGTGCTGAATAGTTGGTCACTGTTCACACAGCACAGTACCCATCAGCCCTATCGCTTTCACAGCCCATCTCCTTGGCACAGCTAAGTGGGCCGCCACTCTCACGGTCTCACCCATCTTGGTGTTCCTGGTACCTGGTGCCGAGCCTGCATTCCACTCATGATAATAGCAGCATTTATTGGGCTCTGACTATGTACCCAGGAATGCCCTAAGCATTTTATGAGGGTTTATGCCACCCACGTGAAATTGTTCCTATCATCATTCTTTAGATAAGAAGCTGGAAGTCTGAAGAAATGAAATCATTTGTCCATACAGCTTGTACATGGTCAGGCCAGAATTCCAGCCAGACAGCTCTGCCTAGAATCTACGCTCTGAACACCTAGAGGGCAGGGCAGGTTCCAGCT